GGTACGCGGGCCTCTCACTGTTGTGGCCTCTCCCGTTGCGGAGCACAGGCTCCGGACGCGCAGGCTCAGCGGCCATGGCTCACGGGCCCAGCCGCTCCGCGGCACGTGGGATCTTCCCGGACTGGGGCACGAACCCGTGTCCCCTGCATCTGCAGGTGGACTCTCAGCCACTGCGCCACCAGGGAAGCCCCGTTTTTATATCTTTTTATGATTATAAAATACACATTTCTTATGAAATATGCGTCATGTAGGAGAACAAACAGAAGATAGTCAAAGTCACCCATAATCTTATCTCCCAGAGATAATTAATTACTGTTGAAGCTTTGACAGTATTTTTGTTTTCTAGCACTTTATCTTTCTGGTTTCTTTTGGAAAGGTCATACTATCCAAATGATCCTATACCTCCTTTTTTCAGCTGTCATAAACAATTTCCCATTTCATTATAATTAATTAAAAACATGATATTAATGGTTACATTAATATTTTATTATATAATACCACAATTTAAAAAATTATCCTCCTTTTATTAGGCCAAATTAACATTTCATTGAGTGCCTATTTGTGCAACAGACGTTTTACATATTTTCATAGTTCTGTGAAGCTGGCATCTCCATTTTGCAGACAAGAAAAGTGAGGCTCAGGGAAGCTAGGTAACCTAATCAAGACAACAAACTTCATAAGGGTAATGAGTTGCACTTAGGCCTCAAATTAGAAATTAGATCTCATATTAGGGCCCAATTTCTTTTCCTACCCAATGCTGCCTCCTAACTGATTTAGGAGTAGCTAAAGATACACTGGTTCTTAACAAAATTTGCAAGTTTGTCTTTCAATATGTTCCCAGAATTCTCCTCCTGGAACTTCCCTTGGTGCATTCTCTTATATCCAATCTTTTAGTGCCCCCCTTCTTTGGCCCAGAGTGTCCAGACACTGAGGGAGGGGAAAGTGGATGGCGGTGACACTCAGCTTCTCGTCCTTCCTCTCCCCTGGGATTAGCTCCAGCCTAGGTCCCCTCAACCCAAGGCCTGATCACGCTGACCTTGGACTGACTCTTGGGAGGGCTCAGAGAGCTCAGGCTTCTTGAATATCCAGTATCCTTTTGCCAATGATGTGTGTGTATGAGACAAAGATACGCAGAGAAAAAACCTAAATCACACTTAGCATCGGGGAAAACTGTCCATGCCAGGGCTGACTGTAGTTCAAAGAGTTACCAAAGATAAACAGATACTTAAGAATCTAGTTTGGTTATATAAAAGTAAAATGAGAGTCATTTGTATGGATTCATTACTATTTGTGCAGTTTTCTACAGAGCACTATAATTATACGTATTACATATGTGCCAGAGTATTTTAATATAATAGTTAACAGGACTGCCTGCTTTCGTCTTATAAAAAAAATTAGAACACTGAGCTTACGTATCTTGTAAAATAGGCATGTTAAGGAGGGCAAGACTCTGAGTGTAGAAAAGAATACTGAATGTGGACCTGGAAATCTGGGGATATACAGCCTTATTTGCCAGCTGTGTGATCTGAGGTGACTTCCCCTCTTAAGACCTTCAGTTTTCTCACCTACAAAAATGGTGACATGCTTCCTACTATCAAGAGTTATTGGGGGACTTCCCTGGTGGCGCAGTGGTTAAGAAGACGTCTGCCAATGCAGGGGATACGGGTTCGAGCCTTTGTCGGGGAAGATCCCACATACCACAGAGCAACTAAGCCTGTGTGCCACAACTACTAAGCCTGCGCTCTAGAGCCCACGAGCCACAACTACTGAAGCCTCTGTGCGCCTAGAGCCCGTGCTCCGCAACAAGAAAAGCCACTGCAATGAGAAGCCCACGCACCCCAACGAAGAGCGGCCCCCGGCTTGCTGCAACTAGAGAAAGCCCGCGTGCAGCAAAGAAAACCCAATGCAGCCAAAAATAAATAAATAAATAATAATAATAAAAAAGACCCAACGCAGCCATAAATAAATAAATAAATAAACAAATTAAAAAAAAAAAGAAAAGTTATTGGGGAAGATCATGAGCTAAAAGATGTGCTCCTCCATTTTATATGCTGCAGAGATAGGACACTGCACATTACAGGTAGCCCACATGCAGGCAATCAGTGATAACTATCTTCAGAGCACCCCTGTGAGTCTGGCACCATACAAGATGCTACGGATCTGGTGGTGAATGATATTGGCGATACCGGCAGGCTCTCTGCTCTTAGGGAGCTTACACCTCAAAGTGGGAAGGCTGACAGTATTCACTGATGTCAACCAAATGCCACAGAAAGTAGTGAAGCTCTACGTAAAATGTCCATAAGTTATAAACCATCCAGAACACCATGAAGACAAAGGACTTTAATGACAAAATTAAAAATATGTCTCACGTACCTGCCATCCGTCTCGAATCTTCTGATTGAAGATTCCATATTCATATCGGATGCCATAGCCGTAGGCTGCAAGCCCCAGAGTTGCCATGGAATCCAAGAAGCAGGCTAAATTAAACAGAGCACAGGCCACAGGCAGCGTCACCAAGGTTACTCAAAATTCTGCCTTTCTCTAAAAAACATGGCAGCCACAAAACATTTCTCTATGAGAAACCATATTTGTATCCTAAAGCGGAGACTGCAGCACAGTGGGTATTAAGTTTTTAAAATAACATTCTAATTATAGAATAAACTATAGAAAAGGTAGAAAATACAAACATGTATAAAGAAGAAAACAAACATTTATTACCTCACCATCCAGAAATAACCACTGTGTTGGCATTTCATCTGAGAAATGTCAGATGTCTACGTTAGAAATGTCCTTTATTATGTCTATGTTAGAAATTCCTTTATTATGTCTGTTCTTCACACTGCCCTTTCTAGGGGAAGCGGTCTCCATGCCCCCCTGCTTGAAAAGACATGTATAATTTACATGTAAATTGACTGACTAGCTGGACATCTGGGGCAGACTCTCTTTCTGGCTAATGGAATTCCAGTGTGGTTCACATTATCAGGTGGCCTTATGCTTCAGGGAGGCTGGACCAACTGAATCTTGACTAAACTTCTAAGCTAATCATAGTAATTTTATGTCCTTCACCAGTTTGGGTTTTGGCATGAGCATTCAATGACATTCAATCCAATGAGAGGTGCTAGAAAGCCTTCTGGGTACAGTGAAAGATTTTCCTTACTGCTGCCGTCTTTCTTCCATGAAGGTAAAGTCAAAAGAACCATAGAGACCCAGAGTCCTGACAGAATTGTCTGCTGAATAAATTAATCTTAAAATGGCCAACCTCTGAAGTTCTCGTTCTGTGATAATACACGTCCTTGCTGGCGGAACTAGCTTTTGCTAGGTTTTCTGTTTCTTGTCGCCAACGGCTTTAATGACAGAGCACCTGATCTAGAGCAGCCGATCAACAGGCTGGGTAGGATCTATCTTGTGGTCAGGAGGAATTTTAGGGGTTACACTAAGCATGGTGCCCCTCTCAGGAATCTGAACTGAGAAATATACAGAGAATGAGAAAATATAGTAGGATCTAAAACTGAAAAGAACATTGAAAATTGCAGATCAAACAGGAAGAGACTGAGCTAGGTTCACGGTGGAGTCCTAAAACAGATCCACAAAGGCCAATGGCCAAGACCTTCAAGTTACTGTAACATCACAACGGTCTTCCAGTCCCTGTGCTCATGTGGCCTGGCTCTGTCCCAGGTCCTGCTCTCTCGGAGCTGTGGCGATTTGTCTTTTCCTGGGTCCTGATCAAATTATCCTTAGAGCCTCACCAGAATGGGGGTCCCAGTTTTTTCAGTCTGGTAAGAGATGAGGTCATCTAATGAGAATTACTCAGCCTCATTCACCCCTTCCCTGTCAGGCCCAGAGTGGGGTGAACGCTGCCAAAAAATAGGCCTGGGACTTTACATAAAAGGAAGGCAGCCCACCTTGTCAGTCTTAGACGAGCATGCCGTTGGCTCTGCTGATCTTCCTATAGCTCCATGGAAAGCCTACTAATTACCCGATGATTAACTTCTCAAGGTGGCTAAGTATGCCAAAGGCAGCGTTTTCTATGACTAACTGCAACGTTAAAACACATGGCCACTCATGTAGTAAGGAATAAACAATATGAAACACATGCAAATGGAGTTCTAGTCATTTGAAACTGTGTGTAAAATTAAGAGATTGTGGAATCATTTCTAAAAGAGAAGACGTAGATATTTATTTTTCATAGAGTACGATCTGATACATACATGTGTGGTCGTACATTCTATTATTAAATTTAAATTTTACAAGTAAATAATATAGTAACATCCTCTTTGTAAAAACAATTCAAATGTTACTGACAGGGCTTCCCTGGTGGTGCAGTGGTTGAGAATCTGCCTGCCAATGCAGGGGACACGGGTTCGAGCCCTGGTCTGGGAAGATCCCACATGCCGCGGAGCAACTGGGCCCGTGCGCCACAATTACTGAGCCTGCGCGTCTGGAGCCTGTGCTCCACAAAAGAGGCCGCGATAGTGAGAGGCCAGCGCACCGCGATGAAGAGTGGCCCCCGCTTGCCACAACTAGAGAAAGCCCTCGCACAGAAACGAAGACCCAACACAGCCATAAATAAATAAATAAAGCAAACTGTCAACAAGTAAAAATAAATAAACACTATAAAATGTTACCCACAGGGCTAGCATCCCTTTTGACTGCCATCCCCAGTTCTGCGCTCCTCTCTACAGAAAGTCACAAGGAGCAGTTCAGTATTTCAAATTTCAGACTTTTTCTATGGATTTACATATATACATTCTCACATAAAATATTAATTTTTAAAAAACATAAATGGTATCACACTGTGTGGCTTTTAATGCAACTTGTTTCCTCTGCCCCCAGCCCCCCATCTCTTGGAGGTCTATGCAGGGAAGTACAAATAGTTCACTTTTAGGTTGACACACATTATTCTGTAACATGGTGTTCCTCTACTTATTTACCTATTCTATCAATGGACATTAGGTTATTTCTAAAATTTTGCTTTTACAGACAATACTGTAGCAATTTTTTTCACATGCCTCCTTGTGTACATGTTGGAGTATTTCTTTAGGGTAGATATCAGGAAGTAGAATTGCTTGGTGGTAAGGATGCATATTTTTAATTTAATGGCATTGGTATTATACTTTTAATGTTTTCCTCTATATTTGTGGAAAAATCATTTCCTGGATAAAGCAAAGAACTCAAAATTCATCCATACAAAAATACTCATTAATTAAATCATACCAATAGTATAACAAGTGTGTCACTGCCTACTAGTTAATCAAAAAGCAAACTGTTAAGTACACAGGACGATAACACAATGGGTAAACAACTTAGGTGCTACCACACGAGTATGTGAACTGAGCAGCTGTGAACAAATAACAGTGAAGTGAAGGGGCCACTTTGGAAACCCTTAAGTGAACAGGAAGGATCTGGTTAGCTTTGGGGTTTGAAGCAATGTCTCCAAACTTTTTAAGCAATGTCTCTTTTGTTAAAGATCGTTTCTCTACTGTTTGTCTAGAACTGGTCAAACCACCGTGCAGACTCAGAAACAAACACAGCTACAACCGGCTCACACTGTGCACTTCTAGACAGTCTTCTGGTTCTTTAAGCATGGCTGTGCATGGCATCTGAGACAGCGTCAAGGGCCAGACAATAGCACACTTACCAGCAAGCCTCCCAAGACCACCATTGCCAAGCCCAGCATCTTCTTCAATTTCTTCTAACTCCTCCATATCCAATCCAAGCTGTTGATGAAAGAAAAACAACATAGGACGTGGATACAAACGTTAGATATACAAACAGGCCACTTCAGAGAGAACAGTCATTTCCTAAAGCTCTGGGTTGGGTCTTCAGGTTCATCTGTGAACTCAATCCTGCCAGGTCCCTCACTGCTTGAACTGGCATCAGATACCCGCTGCGGATGCTGGTGACTGAAGATGCAAACTGTCCAAGATGGCATGGCAGCAGCTTGGAGAAGAGTATGGGCTCTAAATGTCCATTACCGACCCTGTTACTTCTTAGCTATATGAACCTGAGCAAGGTAGTAAATCTCACTATGCTTTTCACTTCTCGTTTAAAAATGAGGATAATAGTATCTACTTCATTTAGGGCTGTGAATTAAATGAGATTATACAAAAAAAGCATTCAGAATGATTCCTGGGTAGGTATTTCTCGATAAATGTTGGCTATTACTATTTCTTAAAATTATTTTTTGTTGCCAGGGTAAAACCTCAGAAATAGTCCAGTACCAAGTTGATACTAACTGGACTAAATTTTGAAAATGACCAAAAGGTATGAGGTCAGATTTTCCGGGATGGACTACAGTTCATCTTTTCATGGCCACAACATATTTACTCAGTAAGGTCAAAGGTTGTTAACCCAAAACCAGTTAGTGAGTCACTGCCCATGACACCAGGGACCAGACAGCAGTCAGGGAAACCTCAGCCCCGTGGTCCTGCTGGATGGGCCTAAAATCCTCTACTTCTCTCTGGGGTAGATAACAGACTGTGGGGGGATAGTGGGAGGGGGAGATAAATTAGAAGGTGGGATTAACATACACCCACTACTGTATATAAAATAGGTAAACAACAAGGACCTACTGGGCTTCCCTGGTGGTGCAGTGGTTAAGAATCTGCCTGCCAATGCAGGGGACATGGGTTTGATCCCTGGTCTGGGAAGATCCCACATGCCACACAGCAACTAAGCCCACGAGCCACAACTACTGAGCCCGCTGAGCCCGCGTGCCACAACTACTGAAGCCTGCGCGCCTAGAGCCCGTGCTCTGCAACAAGAGAAGCCACCGCAATGAGAAGCCTGCGCACCGCAACAAAAAGTAGCCCCCGCTTGCCGCAGCTAGAGAAAGCCCATGCGCAGCAATGAAGACCCAATGCAGCCAAAAATAAATAAATAAAATAAATAAATTTATTAAAAAAAACAAAAACAAGGACCTACTGCATAGCGTAGGGAACTATACTCAACATCTTGTAATAACCTATAATGGAGAAGAAGCTAAAAAAGAATATATAGCTGAGTCACTTTGCTGTACACTTGAAACTAACACAACATTGTAAATTAACTATAGTCAATTAAAAAAAAGAGAGACTGTGGGAGGCCAAGGAGCATCTGTGACCTTGGGGATGGATGGAATTGGTTGCCAGTCAGCTCCCTGCCACAAAGTGTTGGGACCCGCACAGCCAGAGGTCACTAGCAGCAGTGTGGACTCATATCAAAATTCTGCAGCTGTAGAGGTCACTTTGGACGGTTCATCTTACAATGAGGAAATTGATGGCCAGATAAACTAAACGACCTGTCCTCTGCTGACTAGATAATAATCTAGCCCATGCCTGGCTAATAATGGTCCATTGGGAAGTGACTGCATTCTTAATCTGAAAGTGATGCAATCCATGAATTTTACATGGAAACATAATTTACACATTTGAAAACATACGCACAAGATGTAACTATGCTTGAAGTGGATGCCCCAGTTGCCATGGGGTTACCTGCTTGGATCCCTACCCTTATTCAAAAGTTGCTTTCTGACACAAGTCCTGATAACTAAATCTTCTAAGAGTTCAAAAATGTATTTGCTTCTGTTCATTGTTCAAAGGGCTTTCAAACTTGCTCCCTGGTGACTAGAGTACTGGGGTCCTTGTGACATCAACTGCTAATGCTAATGCTCAGGATTTTTAACATTCTAAACGTGTGAGTCTAGAGTAGGCTATAAACCTTGAGCAAGGAGACATGGGTCACTTCATCCCACCTGGTTAGATTATGGTGCAAAGGAGGTATATTTTTTTCAGCTGATATCAGGGGAAGCAAAGAAAAGGGAAGCAGAGAGGAGCTGCAATGGTTCTTTCGCACGAAATGCTCTACTAAACCCACACAAAGGAAACCAGCCCTAGTGACAAGCAGCTGGCCACAGGGGAGGACAACAACCCTATGCCAGGCCAAAAGCGACTTGAACAGTCTCTTACTTGGAGTGCACCTCTGCAAATACTCGTTCCTCCTATTAACCACATCAGAAAGGTTAAGGACTATTTTTGGTATGAAGATGCTTGAAGGTCAAAGGAGAAACAGTTAAATACGTTCATTCAAACAAATTAGCACATTAGGTTCAAGACCTCAGGCTCCTCATTTAAAGAGGAAGTGTATTTTACATCTCATTAAGCAACAGAGAAAGTATGACAACAGAATTTTAAAAGTTTATTACTTTCACGTATTGCCTTGATATACAAATAACAGTCAAACTTTGATCCCTTTAAAAAAGTATATGGGAGCCCAAAGTAAAGCTTGTGATTCTGATAGCAGGGACTCAAGTACTTCTTAAAGGCTTGTTCAGGTGCTAATTGCTAAAATGTAATTTGTTGCATAATGCCGTCAAAAACTGATTGCAGAACAAAATTCTCATGAGGTAAAACTAGTTCTCTAGCTTTGTTCCTCTTCACCCAGAGATCAGGAGTACTATAGTTTAGATTTCTAATAGTTTGTAATAGCCATGTCTATAGAAGCAATTTTTCACCATTTTTTTGGGGGGGTGGGGCAGCTATATCCCCAAGGTTCCTGAGTTGAACTTGAAATTTAAAGGGAGAGAATGAGAGAAATATGGAGACAATGTACCTGGTAAATGGCCTCGTCACAGGCATTCTGCAGGCCAAGGTTGATCATGGTGTTCTGTAATGTTCGGCCCATGTAAAATTCCAAAGAGAGGTAATAGACCCTCTGAAACAAAGAGAGAGGTCATGTTAACGGCTATGAGGCCAACCTTACTTGTCAATATAAAAACACAAGGTCACCCATAAGAAACAAACAGGCAGGACTACTTTAACTCAGGTTCAAATGAGCCTCCTATAGATGCATGAAGGGCTAAAGAAAAGCACTTCTGATAACTTACTGGCTTTGGAAAAACCATTTCATATCCTGGTTTTGGTGGTAATACTTAAAAAATATATATCTTTTACCCCCAGGGAGGGGAAAAAAAGCAAACTCATCCAACTCATTAGATTCAAAATTTTGTGGGTTTTTTCTTCCTGTTCATGAGCCTCATGAAAAAACATATGTTTGGGGTAAACGGAAGTCAGACTGACATAGCTCATCATTCATCTGTAAAATGTTTATAGGATGAGGGTCAGGTGGGGTTGGCTGTGAGCATCTCAAGTCATCCAAGAAACACAGAGATTAACTCCTTCAAGATACACCCAATGGCTACAAAGTATTCCTCCTTAACTGTTACTGCAAGTAATATTATAATTAAATATTTTAGAATTAAAATTATCCTAGAAAGTCTATGAACTGGCAATAGTTCCTTCTGTATAACAAAAGACTGCCTCAGGTTTATTGGCGTCTGTTCTTGGTGAAATAGGACATTTCTCTATCAGGTTAGAAACTGTTTGCCTTTGACATAGTAAAAGCCAAGCAAATATCAATAGTAATCAGAGTTGAAAGCAAAAGGTGCAAAGCTCAGACTTACCTAAAACCCTTTAAAATACAAGCACAGTTTACTAGTCAAAAAAAACAAAAAGGGTCAGTAACTTCATCATCCTCTTATAAAATATCTTACTCTCTGTATCAGTTCCTCTTTTCTTTTTCACCAAACGCAAAACAAAACAATAAAAATCTGTAAATGCATCAGTATCAATATAAAGTCACCTCAAATTTTAGGGACTTCCCCATTTCTCAATAGGAAGAACCCCAAAGAAAAGGATTTGGTCAACCAGGAAGTACTTAAAAAAAAAAAAAGAATATAGTTCAATATGAGAAATGCCTATAATAAAAATAAAAAAAAGGGGCTTCCCTGGTGGCACAGTGGTTGAGAGTCCGCCTGCCGATGCAGGGGACGCAGGTTCATGCCCCGGTCTGGGAAGATCCCACGTGCCGCGGAGCGGCTGGGCCCGTGAGCCATGGCCGCTGAGCCTGCGCATGCGGAGCCTGCTCCGCAACGGGAGAGGCCACAACAGTGAGAGGCCTGCATACCGCAAAATAAATAAATAAAAAGAAAGAAAGAAGAAATGCCTATTATGATATTTAAATCATTAGTTACACATATATACTTAAAATATTATACAAAAATGTCAATTCAGAAATCTTACTTTTCCCTACTTTCATTTTATGAAACAATTGAATTCTAAGTCTTCCCATGGATAGTCAACATGTTATCAAACACTATTTTCCAGAGCACATCATCATTATTTTTATCCAAGTTGTTTGAATATCTATAATGCTGTCATTAGGGCCCTCATTAGTTTATTAGATACCTTTCTGTGAGCTGGGAAAAGGTATCTTTCCTGGGGCAGACTCAGGCCAAAGAGGTGCAAGGCATCACTCACCACCCCCCCCCACGGCGCCCTTGTACCAATGCATCACAAAAAAGAGCATCTCAAGCCACAAATATACATTTACATAACATCAGGGCAGTTTTTTTCATTCTTCCCTGTGTGCATTTTCATGATCTCTATAATATAACCACTACCTATTGCTTTTTACTTTTTAGTGATCTATAAAAAGCTTGGTTATAAATACAGTATATATATCCAACACTTGCAATTGTGAGGTCATAGCCCCAGGAATAAAGACGACATCTGTGTTAAGTTTCTTTGTCTCCCTTTTAAGGATTCTAAATTAGCATGGACTTAAGAGTTTTTAAGACATTTCAAGGTCTTCCTAAAAAAATGTTGCTGCTTAAAATAAAGTAGTTGATAGAGAGCATCTTGTTCCATGACAGATTTTCCAAGGACATGAATTTAAGGTGATTTCCTATTTTCCCACAAATAAATTTTTTTTTGGGGGGATAGCACCTTATATTTAGGGGTATAAAAGACCTTAAAAAATTGATCTCCCTCGTCGTCTTAGTTAGCGGTCCCTAAACATTTAAACATACTTCTGGTAGTAAAATATCTGAGCATCTCCAGTATAGCTTATAGATTACATGCATGCACTACTATTACTAATATCTTATGTATATTTTACAAAAATTAGAAATTTTCAAAAGGCTTGTGTAGATAAAATAAAGAAGACATAACAATAAGCAATATTTTTGAAATACTTTAAATTTGTTCCTAGGTGTATGGAATAGGCGGCAACACAACTGAGACTTGCAGGGCAGGCAAGAGTTGAGCAGAGTCCCACGTGGTGGGAAGGGCATTCCGGGTGAAGGGTGCAGTGTGGGCAGAGGCCCGGAAGTGGGGAGAACAGGGCATGGATGGGGACGGCAAATTGGCCTGGTGGGAGAGTAAGGTAATGGGAGGGACAGGCTCACCTGGGCTGAGGAGGGCCTTCAGTGCTTAAGGACTGTGGAAGGCAACACTGCCAGCGATATAGATCTGAGCAGAGGGCAAGATGGATGTCTTTAAGAGGTTTAATCAGACTGTAACGCATAGAATGAAATGGGATTGCAAACTCAAATGCCTTCAGGAGCCAGACAGAAAATAAGTGTATAAAGGCAGTCACAAAAAACAATGAGGAGTACTGGGTCAAGAACTGGAGTGCCCTGCCCGAAGGTACGGAAAATAAAACTGCTTAAAGGTGTCTAATCGACCAAATAAAATAAGTCTGCTAGCCATATTCAGTTGCATGCAGCCAGTTTAACCATTTCTGGGAAGCAAGGTAAACACTTAGAAATCTACTTCATCGAAGACCAGAGGCCAGGGCCTCAGTTAGGCAGAAAAGTGAGAACGGAGGAGAGTGGGTATTTTCAAGGCAAACTGCAGAAATCAACAGAATTTGGCAACTTGTTGAACGGGGAATACAGGAGGAAATCAAAGGCGAAACTAAAGTTTTGTGTCTGGGTGACTGTCAGGATGACAATGCTATTAACATTAGAAACACAGAAGAGAGGGCAGGATTGGGAGCGATGATGATTTGAGTTTTTAACATGCTGAGTTTAAGGGAATAAGGGGAGATCTAGGTATGTTTACCGAGCACTTACAAATGTAGGAATGGAGCCAGAAAAGGTATTGAGACTAGAGATCCAGATTTGGGATTCATCTGCAGTTACTAGAAAGTAGGGGAGGTGGGAGAGAAGATTGGACACACCTACTGGCTCCACTCTATGCTGAGGGCAGGGACCTTCTGTTATATGAATGACTGTCACAGAGTAGACACTTTATGAACATGTGTGGACTGGATCTTGTTCACTTGTATCACTATCAGAATACCTGGCTTATACCTGCGTAAGTAAGAAATGCTTGCCCAGTGCAGAAACTAACAAGAGAACAAGAAAACCATAAAGTACCAGATAAGTCACTGGAGGAGAAACGTACAAGGCAGCTGTGTTCTTTGGCACTAAATGCTTTGGAAGTGTGTGGGGAGGGGAGGGGGGCAGGTTCTAAAATATGGCTCATCACCTCACTCTCCAGCTTAAAAACTTAAATAATAATTTTTAATGTAAGGTGCAGTCCCCGCTATGCAAATAAAAATTACGGTAAATACATGTATACATAAAGTGTTTTCTAAGGATATAGTTTAGCAGTTGCTACCTCTGGGTAGAGGCCTAAGCCTCAGGGGCGGGGAAGTTACTTTCCATTTGAAAGCTCTGTTACAGCTGCAATTTCTCACTCTGAGGACTGTTTTGCTTAGGGGTTCTTTGAGCACTTGGAATATGGGCTATTCTTTTTCATGCTTTACATATTTTAAAAAATCCTAATAAATGTTTATGTGTATTTCCCACTACCTCCAGGATATTCCCATCATTCACCCTTTCCAATATGCCTCCAGCCAGCGTTTCCAGTTTCCTCTCTCAACACACAACCATCCTCACGGCTGCTGCCAGAGCTGCTCTCTCACCCGCACTCTACACAACACAATCCCTCTGGCCGCCAAGTCCTACTCAGTCCTCCCCACCCCGCCTTCCCAGGTTGGCCAGGTGGAAATAGTGTTCCTCCGTGCGCCCAGCAGCGTCCACTCCAGCCCCCGCGCACTGGGTAGGGGTGGTCTGTGAACAGCACTCCTCAGCAGTTCCCGGGTGGCCTGGCCCTCGGTCTCCAGTCCGCAGGAATCAAGGAAGTCCAGAAGCTCCACAACCCACTCCTAGGAACTGCGTGTTGGGCGAGGGGCCGGGGGTCGCTCAGAGCTCTGACCACGGGGTGGGACCTCTACCCCTCCCTCTTCACCACACTCGGGCAGTACCTACGACAAGCCCGGGTCTCCCGCGAAACCCCCATCTAGTCCTCCAAAAGTTCTATGGGCTCTGAAGCACCTTCTTCCCACTTTTCCCCACCAACCCCCCCCCTTAATTCTTATTACCGTTTGACGACCTTTGCATTTGTCTCCCTCCCTAAACATTCAGCTTCCCCGAGGCAGGGTTCTCATCCGTTTTGTTCTGGGTCGACTGCCTGGGGCCGAGAACTGTGTCTGGCATACAGAGAGGAGCCGCCCGACATCTCAGAGTAAACGCTGAGAGGAATGCTCCAAAAAAGTTTGTGAAGCAAGTGGACAGGCGAGGGAGGCCTGGGCGTCGGCTCCAGTTGGTGCCCAGGGGCAGGAAGCGCAGTGAGGCCCACGAGATGTGAACGGGGTGTTGGCGGAGGGCCGCATCTGCCCCTTGGGCTGCCCACCAGCCGCCCAGACGCTCTACGCCGGACTTCGCGTGGGGCAAGAACGGGGAGAGGAGAGGTCACTCCGGGGTCTCCACCCACCCCCGCCGCGGACACCGCCCCGGCGCCCGGATGCTGGACTCGCGCCGTCCCGGAAGGGCACGACCCGGCGAGGGGCGGCGAGGAGCCCCCCTCCCCCTCTCCCCGCCCCCCCGCGCCCGGGCGCGTACCTTGGGGCACGTCTCGTAGTAGTGCTGCTGCGTGCGGATCCAGCGCCCCACCAGGTGGTCGCGCACCGTGTGCGCCAGCGCGAAGAAGTAGTCGCGAGGGGTGGCCACATTGCGGTCCTTGACCAGCGTGAAGTGCAGATGCCGGTTGAAGCCCTTCTTCAGCTCGGCCACGTTCTCCACGCCCACGATGCCGCGGATGCTGATCTGCCGCCGCTTCTCCTGGTCGGTCAGGGGCTTGGCCATGGCGGCGGCGAGCAGGACGTGCGGCTCCGGACGCCCGGCGGCAGGACAGGGGCGGAGTCGCCCCGCGCCTCTCGCCGCTTTTGAGTCGGCGAAAAGTCTGACGCCCGCCCCTCGGTGCGGCGCCGCCCGGGGTTGCAGCCCGCCCTCCTGAGAGGCGGAGGGAAACCCTGGCCCCTCCCTTTGACTCTGGGTCGGGCAGGGCGCGTAGGGCGGTGGGAGAGCACCTGTCGCGACCTCTGCGCACCCGATATGCCAGGGGGTGAAGGTGGGGGGCTGGCGGCCAGGGACCTGGGCTGAATCCTCTTGGCAGTTGAAGGTGGGACCTTTGGTGACTCACGTGGACACTCTGACGCCTCCTTTCGGATCTGGGGAATGGGGCTGGGGGGTGAGTAGAGGAGGGAATTTGTCCTGCCTCCCCACTCTAGAGTCTTGGGTAGAAGGAGGATGTCTGGTGTGAAAGCGTTGTAAGCAGATGGGGGGCAGGGGGGGGAAGGTCCCTGGAGATGGGAGAACCACCTGCATGGCTTTCTTGACATAAGAGAAGGCATTTTTGGCCTAAGCCATGTTGTGATCTAAGCCTGGCCACGGTGCTTGTCCTTGAAGAGGTCTCAGTGATTAATGATCTTAAGGGAAGTAAGGGAATGCAGGAACAAAGGAAAAGCAGTCAAGAAATAATGGTTCAGTGATAAAAACAGAGTCCTAGTTCCTCCTCAAGGGATATACATAGCAATCTGATACCCATCTTTGAGGTCTGCAGGAACTAAGGCCCCCCAGCCAGGCGGAGGGTGCAATGATGATGTTGACCCTAATGACTTAAGTCAAGGAAAGCTTGGCTTCTGTCTACCTTTGCCCCAATTCTTTGCTGAGTTCTCCTCTCCTCCAGCCCTTTCATGAATATGCATGTACCCTTAGCTTAAAACATCCCCAGTTTTGCTGTTCAGGGAGACTCTGCTTTGGGAAGGATTCCGCGTGTTCTCCTTACTTGCTGCAAGTAATAAATTCTTCCTTCTCCCGATCTTTGGCTTGGTTGTGTCTTTGGGCTCGACACCCACCAAGAGGCGAACCCAGTTTTCAGGTAACAGCAGGTTGCTGGCAAACTTTTGTTTTACGGAGGTTTATTTGCTATTATTATTATTATTTCTCACCTGGAATGGGTTCTACCACAAGCTTCGGAAGGGATCCTGGAGGGTCAGCACTCTTTTACTTCGGTTGTCCCATGTCCCTGTCAGTCCTTGACATCCCCCCATCTAGGATCAGAAAAGAAAGCCAGGGCACCCCCTTTGCTTTCATTTAGTTTTTGAGGAGTCAGGAATTCGGGCTTCTTGACTCTTAGACTCATGCTTGCCCTGTCAAAGCATCCTACTGCTCATCTGTACAGACAAGTTAGTGAGAATCAGAAGTTCTGAGTTGGACCTTCAGGCTGATTAGGTGGCAGGGGCTTTCACCTTTGGCCTCTTGTTTAACCGAAGGCAGGGTGGAGGGAGGAGAAAAAAGAAAGGTGTGTCCTGTAAAATGAAGGGATAACTCACTGGGCTGGTTGCCTCGTTTACAGGAAACAAAGCAGTCTGTGTTACTCTGCAGTACAGGCTGATCTTTGCACCATTCACCTCCAGCGTAGGTGGTATTTATTGGTGTGTGTGTGCGCGCGCGCGCGCGTGTGTGTGTGTGTGTGTGTGTGTGTGTTTAAACATTGGCAAAGGATGTCAGAGGCTTTTTCTTTTTCAGTAAGATGTGGTATTAATCTATTATTTTAGAAACAGTCCATTGCCAGAATTGACTTTCCCCCCCAAAAATCTTAGTGCAACTTATTAATGGACTTTACTGTTAATAATAAACCAAAGCTGATTGTTTTGAGTTGATGTGTGTGGGGGAGGATTATTTGACTCAGGCTAAATGCAGCTCTCACCATCAAAATAAAACTTCAGATCTCATAGGTCTAGCAAAATATCCAGACCCCTTGTCCTCCCAATGTCAGGGCTTTAGACTCTAGGCCTTTGGGGCAGAGCCAGGACTGAGTTACAATATGCAGTGCCTGTAGTACTGATGACCTGCATAGGAAAGCATTTAGGAGACACAAGGATGAGGGTCTGGCCATCTGGATGAGGCCAGAAATACCCTGAATTAAAAGTGAGAGTGGAGCAGCGTCAAAATGGTTGATCTTACAGATAGAACAAACTAGTGGTTACCAGTGGAGAGAAGGGGGGGGGAGGGGATTAAGATATACAAACTGCTAGGTATAAAATAAATAAGCAATGAGGGACTTCCCTGGTGGCACAGTGGTTAATAATCCGCCTGCCAATGCAGGGACATGGGTTCGAGCCCTGGTCCAGGAAGATCCCACATGCCACAGAGCAACTAAGCCCATGCACCACAACTACTGAGCCTGCGCTCTAGAGCCTGCAAGCCACAACTACTGAAGCCCAAGTGCCTAGAGCCCGTGCTCTGCACCAAGAGAAGCACTGCAATGAGAAGCCCGCGCACGGCAACAAAGAGTAGCCCCTGCTCGCCGCAACTAGAGAAAGCCCGTGCACAGCAACAAAGACCCAACGCAGCCAAAAAAAAAAGCAACAAGGATATATTGTACAGCAGAGGGACTATAGCCATTCTTTTGTAATAACTTTAAATGGAGTATAATCTATAAAAATGTTGAACCACTGTGTTGTACACCTGAAACTAATATTGTAAATCAACCATACTTAAATAAAAAATAAATTAAATAAATGAAAAAAAAAAGTTGATCTTAAAATAACCAGGTCTCTATGGTAAAATTTGAGGGGAGGCTGAAAGGGCAGGTCTCTTGACAAATTAGATGATAACAAATATGTTTCTAAAAGCAGTTTTGAATACCTCTAGGATGGTCACAGCATTAAGCCAGTTGTGGGTCAGTCACAGGTTGGTGTGAAATAGTTCAACAGTTAGATGGAAAATAGGGTAGAGCAGTGAGATGAGGGGAAGCTAGGTCTGAGTAGATCTTACTCCCAGGGAGGCCTGAACAGCAAAAGGCAAAAGAATTGTCTGGGTACTTGGATGGGGAGTGAGGAATTAGGGGGCGCAAAAGAAGAGATGGAAGCCACCAAAGGCAAACTCGCTGCTTCTTAGTTTCGTTTAAGAAAATTTCAAATAGGTGGATCCTAGCCCCCCTATCTACTTAGATGGACTAAGTTCTTGTGGGAAACCCAGGATAATGATGAACTAATAAACACACTATTTGCTTGATTCTGTAGCCAGTTAGTAAACCTACACCCCTGAGTTGCACATCTCTCAAAGTGGAAAAACTGTGAATGGTAGAATGTCCAAACTACAGCGTGAGGGGAGGGATGTCCAAGCCCATGTGAAAGGGGTGACTTAGGTGACTTAGGAGTGTGGCATAGATCTAGTCTTGAATGACAATGAATCACATTGTCAGATAGTCTTTTCACTTCTCTTCCATTCTTTCTAGAAAGTATTTGGTGTTAGCAGGTCTCTAACACTTGTTAATCTATATTTTTAACAGAAATCAGGCCCAGACTCTACACCTTCTTCAGGTTTTAGCATCTAACAAGAATTTAATAACGTTGTCTTCCACTTATGGTAAATGATACTTCTCCAGTTAACACTCTGACATAAACTTCGCTTTTTAAATTTTAAGTTAAAGTGAATTTACCTGAAGAAAAGTTAGCATTTGGGTGGCACATGGGTTGGCCTAAAAGTGTACAAATGTAACTAAAGTTTGGGAAACACAGAGCTTATGGTCTCCCAGGTCCCTTTGAAATCTAACATCTGCTCATTCTGTACTGGTCTAGGACACTGAGGCCCAGAGAGGTTAAGTTACTTGACCAAGAAGATTACGATCTTTAAAAACCTTTCCTTCAGCCTCTCCCTGACTAGAAACACCCAGAACTGTGGTTCCCTGAAAAAGTGTCAGCCTTATGTGGCTCACCTCTGTTTACACCAGCCTGTGCAACGATGACCCCTGTTAATTCCTGTTTCTCAGCTGTGGCTTCCTCATGGCTGCTCTGATGAAATGGCCCTTGCGAATAGCTGAACAAACTGTGCAGACCTCACAAGACAACTGTAAGTTGGCCACTTCAGAAAAGAACGTGGGAAAGCGTGTCAGTCCGGGTCTTCAGAGAAGCAGATGGCGAGACAGGATTCAGCATGCAAGGATTTTGTTAGGGCCAATGCCTGCGGGAAAGAAAATGGGGAAGGAGCCAAGTTAGCCTGGTAGAGTTTCAGGCTATGATGCAAGTCTGACCCCCAGTGAAGAAGGGGGGGGGGAACAATGGGAGGGACGATCCCAGACTGCCCTCAGTCCCAGGAAGATCCAGCAAAGCCACTGGCAATTCTGGCACCAAAGCCAACCGTCAGAGAAGTCACCATGCTCTCTTAGCCATTGCTGGGAGCAACCTGGGGAGGCGTGGCCTTTTCACAAGCCCAGCAAGGACATCCGTGGCCCTTGGCCAGTTATGCTCCCTGCAGTTGGAGGTCTATGAGGCCCATTCTGGTAACCACCAGAAAGATATCAGATAACAAACATAGGTTAACAGCCACTATGTTCCAAAGTAGGGCTTACTGTGTTGGCACACCACTTTCAGATTCATCGAATCTGCAGCTAGCATTTTCCAAGGGCTCTGGCTAGGCTCTTAATGTGTGTTCCCTCATTTAATCCTCTTATCAGCTCTGTAGGGCAAGTTCTATTTTTCTTCTCATTTTGTAGATGAAGAAACCGAGGCTTGGAGAAGTTAAGTAGTTTGCTCAAGATCACTTAACGGGTAAGAGGCTGAAGAGGTTTTCAAATATTTGCATATTGTTTTCAGGTTTGGGATCTGTTAAGGAAGCATGAATTCTCACTGCACTTTAGCTGACCTACTTACCCTGTCCCCTTAGTTTGTTTTATACTGTTCTCTGGCCTTTTTTTTTTGCGGTACGCGGGCCTCTCACTGTTCTGGCCTCTCCCGTTGCGGAGCACAGGCTCCGGACGCGCAGGCTCAGAGGCCATGGCTCACGGGCCCAGCCACTCCGCGGCACGTGGGATCTTCCCGGACCGGGGCACGAACCCGTGTCCCCTGCATCGGCAGGCGGACTCTCAACCACT